CGGGCAGTAGTGTGGGCGGGCATGCCCTGGACGGCGTCAAGCGTGCTCGCGTTGAACCGGAGGAGGACCTGGTCGTGGTGGTTGTTGCCGGGGGCAAAGTAGTGGGTGTTGCCACCGCCCTCGCCACTGGCCAGCGACAACAAGAAGGCGGGCAGCATAAACGGTGTCGTGGGCCCCCGGGGCGGAGCGAAAACGCGCGTTCGGCCCAATGTGGAAAACCGAGCACCTACCCCCCCGCCCCCCCAAAACTTCTGGAGTTTTCATCGAGTCGCGGAGCTCCCGTTGTTCACACCGAGCAGCGAGGAGCGGCTGCGGCTATAGCAGACAGCGTTACATGCGACTCAAAGAGAAATCAAGAAGATTCCTGGCTGGCGCTGCGCGCCTGGTCTATGAATGAGTGAGAGAGAGAGAGGTTGAGGTGCAAGACCTGGAGGCCCATTAGGAGGCCCTGGGTATGGGGGAGACTACCCGCGGGCCTAGAAGGCCCGCGCGCAGCGGCGCAGGGGGGTGGGGCATTGACATGCACACTGTGGGAGGGAGTGTGTAGAGGATGTAGAGTGTGGAGCACTGTTGAGCTGTAGAGCTGTATGTAGAGATGTAGAGCACTGTAGAGCTCTACAGCCGTTGGCCTGTATATACATACTTTTCCGGCAAACAAAAAGGAAAACAGAGGGGCCCCAGCACTTTGCGTTTCCGGAAAACACTACAGAGGGTGTTTGGTGCTCCATTCTGGAAACTCGCGAGTTTCCCTGAGTCTGAGAGCTGGTCTGGGGCAAAATCTGAGGCAAAATCGAGGAAACCGGCAACATCCCGGGCTTTTTCCAGGTATACCCCTGTATACCCGGGTTTTTCCGCAGGTATACCCGCAAAATAAGAGCCACATACATTGAAAATACCCGGTATTTTGCCGATTTGGCTGATTTTGGGCCCAAACCAGCCTTCCTGTGTAGAGCGATGTAGAGCGCGGATTTCACGGTGAAATCACATGAGTAAATCGCGCTCTACATCGCTCTACATCGCTCTACATCGCTCTACATCGCTCTACATCGCCCCCACATCTCCCGCTGTGATTCTGTGTGAGCTCTGTGTCTTGATTTGCCAACAATATACCTAAAAATCTTATCCCCTACGTCTCGGACCCCCGAACCCAGTGTGTATGTGTGCACGAAAGCGGGATCGAACGGGGGACGACGCCGTGTCCGAAAGCAGCGAAAGCAGTGAAAGCGCATCGCGGCGGCGCGAGCGGAAAAGGCATAAGAAGAAGGCCAAGAAGGAGAAGCGAGAGCGGAAGAGGGATCGGAAGAAGGAGAAGCGAAGGCGGGCAGCGGAGGAGGAGGGGAGCGAGCAGCCCCTTCCTCCCACCGTCTGGGCCGGCGTGGCGGATGGGCCGCCTGCAGAGGCGGAGCCTGCTGCGCCAGCGGCCGCTCCGGCAAAGGTCGTCGCCGGTGCCATGAGACCGGAGGAGGCTGCGGTGGCACAGGAGGCGGCGCAGCGGGTGACGCGCGTCTTCGATCCGAGCCTCGGCGTGTGGCGCATGGTACGGTCGGGCGGCGAGGTGCTCGAGAGCTGCGTCAGCCGCCAGGAGCAGCGGCAGCTCATGGCGGCAAAGGCGCGAACGGTCCAGCCGAGCGTGAGTGCAGCGCCCTCCGTCGGACAAGAGTCGTACACAGGGAGAGATAAGTTTCCGTCGCAGCATCCGTGGTTTGGGTACAAGTAAGCGCTATTACGACACGTCACTGACTGTCACTGCTGTGCGTGGCGTGCGCTCTATCGTGCGATTTTTCGTCTACCCGCGTCTCTCCCGTGGCCGCGCGTGACGTCTAAGGCGTCTTGTGGGCCGTGCCCCGTGCGTGGGATCTGGGATGTGTTCTCGTCAGACGTCACGAACGTGCGTGTTGTAAGACCACGAACACGACTCCGCCGGACTCGGCAACACGCTCTCTATCTCTCCGTGTACCGTCTGTCGTGTCTGGGACCGTGGGACCGACGAGCGCGACGTGCGCGATGTCGTCGTGTGCTTTTGCGTTGACCGTTGTCGGTGTGTGCGGCACGGTGGGGTGTGATGTGTTTATACACGGCGTCGCGGTTTCGTGTTTGCACCGTGAGAGCGATGGGGAAACAGTACCACAGTACTGCCCTGTCCCTGACCCTCCCGTCGCACAGAGCCTAACAGCCTGAGCCTCGCTCAGCACCCGACGTGCCGCAGGATGGCGGCGGCGGCGGCGTCCGCGTCCGCGGTGTCGCAGGGCAGCGTCTCGACGGCGCCGGGCCGCTTCTTGGCCTGGTGCTCGTACATTGAGTCGTAGTAGTGCGTGAGCAGCAGGTCGGCGACCTCGCCGAGGGCGGGCGGAGAGCGGTCGAGCAGCAGCGAGACGAGGCTGGCTGCGCGGCCCGAGCCGAGCTTCCTCTCCAGCTTGAGGACGCACCTGAGACGAGCCGGGGCGAGATACGCCGAGATATGGGCGGGGCCGCCCTCTCGAGCTGTGGCGCTCGGCCAGGCATCTCTCTCTCTCGGACATCTCCTCTCGGACATCTCTCCGCTCATCACGCACTCGGCCAGCTCGTCCGGAGCGTGGCTCCCGTACTCCGCCACGAGCCTCGCGACGCGCGTCTCCCGCGGCACCTGCGGGGCGGCTCCGGCACGGCTCCGGGAAGCTGCACCGCCCTCGCCCCCTCCGGCTGCCTCTCGGCTGCCTCTCGGCTGCCTCTCGGCTGCCTCTCGGCTGCCTCTCGGCTGCCTCTCGGCTGCCTCTCGGCTGCCTCTCGGCTGCCTCTCGGCTGCCTCTCGGCTGCCTCTCGGCTGCCTCTCGGCTGCCTCTCGGCTGCCTCTCGGCTGCCTCTCGGCTGCCTCTCGGCTGCCTCTCGGCTGCATCTCGGCTGCATCTCGCGGCACCTCGAGCCGCACCACCCTCGTCTTCTCCGCCTGCAGCGGGCGCCTCACGCGTCAGAAATGGCTCCACCTCGACGGGCCGCACCTCGAAGGATCGACGGCCGCACCTCTCCTCGCCCCACCATGGCGCCCGCATGCAGCCCGGCACATCTCGTCCCCATCTCGTCCCCATCTCATCTCGGCTACATCTCGCCCGCATGCGAGCCCACAGCCCGGCCGGCACGCCGCACCGTCCCACGTGCGCGCCCTCGTCCTCGATGAAGACTGGCGCCTACGCCCGTGGGTGTGGGGGTGTGTGGGGCGGGGGGGAGGGAGGGAGAGTCTCCCGCGTGCTGGGTTGCTCTCGGTGAAGCTGAGGCGGTAGATACAACCGAGGCCGAGGTGCGGCCGAGGTGCGGCCGAGGTGCGGCCGAGGTGCGGCCGAGGTGCGGCCGAGGTGCGGCCGAGGTGCGGCCGAGGTGCGGCCGAGGTGCGGCCGAGGTGCGGCCGAAGTGCGCCTGAGGCGAGAGGCCTGCCCACTGCAGCGCGAGCAGGTTCTCGTACATCTCGTTCGAGGGCTGCGCCGGCCGGCCCAGCGCGCCGAAGGAGGAGCCGCGGTGCTGCGCCACTCCCTCCAGGTCGACCACCTTCGGGACAACTCGCGGACGTGTCGTGGACGGGTGTCGCGGACAGCCTCTCTCTCTCTCTCCCGCCGGAGGTGCACCTGCGCGCGCCTCGCCTCGGCCATGGCGAGGAGGACGTCCGTCTTCCCCGAGCCGGTCCGCCCCCCCAGCACGACCAGCTCCCGGTCGAGCGCCTGGAACGCCTCCTCCCTCACCCACCTGCGGAAGCCCTGATACCCTCCCCGCAGGGTCACTACCTCGAGAGGCAGCTGGGAGAGGAGCCAGGCGGCGCCGCCGGAGCGCATCCCGCCGCGCTTGCAGTAGACGAGCAGCCTCCCCCCCTCGCGCGCCTTTGGCGGCAGCGCGTCCACCATACCCCTCCACGACGCCTCGATCAGCCTCACGCCCTTCGCCACCGCCTCTTCTGGGCCCTGCTGCTTGTAGAGCGTCCCGACGACGGCGCGCTCTTCGTCGGAGAAGAGCGGCATGTTGACTGCGCCCGGCAGGTGGCCCTTTGCAAACTCGCACGGCGAGCGCACGTCGAGCACCAGGGGCGCCTCCTCCGGCGCCGGAGCGCCAGGCACAAAGGCGACACCGTCGCCGGAGAGGCCGCACGCAGAGAGGAAGTGAGGCAGCTCGAGCTGGTGCGGGTAGCCCCGCTCCTGCACCGCGCGCTCCACCGCGTGCGAGAAGGCCGCGTCCGAGATCGCGGCAGACAGGCTGCCCAGCGCTGCACACCGAGGCCCACCGGCGGCAGAGCGCACGCGGTTATGGCCGAGCAATCGCGGCCGGGCAGCGAGCGCGGCCACGAAGAGCCCGGCGCTGCTCGCACCGGGGATGTAGGAGCGCATAGGTGAATTTGGGAGGATATGGAGGCCGCCGAAGCGAGAGAGGGCAGCGAGCGAGAGCGAAAGAAAGAAACCAGCGGCTCCGCGCGGGGAGGGTCGAGCGAGAGCGAGAGCCAGCGAGTTCTCCAAGCTTATTTCTTTTCTTCTCAGAAATGAACTGGTGAGCGTCATACGTGAGCGTCGCGGCGAGGAAAGGTGGAGGGTGGGCGGAAGGAAAAAACAAACCCCCGTGCCGCCCCGGCCGCTCGCTCGCCGCTGCCCTCAGGCCGCCGCTTCTCGCCTGCTGGACCGCTCGATGCCACGCTCTCCGTCACCGTCACCGCCGGCAGGCCAGCCCTCTACTGCCAGCGATGCGGGCGACGCCGTTAAGGCCATCTATGTCTTTGCCAACGAGAAGGGAGGCATGACCGACATCAATCGCGGCAAAATCAACGAGATCATCGCCCAGCTCAGTCAGTCTTCCGCGTACACCGCCAAGCTGCTCAAGTCGGACCGGCGCGTGGACGAGACGGTCGCGCTGCTCCAGCAGAAGCTGCAGCTCAGCGACGAGGGCGCCCGGCGCAGCGCGGCGGCCGTCGTCGCCCGGCAGGTTGCGGCGCTCGAGGCGTCGCGCCGCGCGGACCGCTGCTGCGCCGTGATTGACTTTGATATGTTTTACGCCGCCGTCGAGATTCGGGACCGGCCGGAGCTAGCAGACAAGCCGGTCGCCGTGGGCGGGATCGGGATGATCAGCACAGCCAACTACGTCGCCCGCAGGTGGGGCGTGCGGTCGGCGATGCCGGGCTTCATCGGCCAGGCGCTCTGCCGGCGCGGGCCTGAGTTTGGCATGCCTCGCGGCGAGCTCGTCTTTGTGCGGCCGGACTTTGCAAAGTACACGGCGGTGGCCGAGGTCGCGCGCGCCATTTTCCGCGAGTACGACCCGAAGATGACGGCGGGCTCGCTGGACGAGGCCTACCTCGACCTGACCGACCACCTGCACAAGCGGGCGCGGGACGGCGGCGGCGGCGGCGCCGGGGACGACAGCGGCGACTGCGACGGCGGCGGGGAGGGGGAGAGGCGCGGCACGGCTCTGACTGGCGAGGCGCTGGGCGAGCTCGCTGGCGAGGTGGTGGGCGAGATCCGGGCGAGGGTCAAGGAGGCGACGCGAGGGCTGACCACCTCGGCGGGGATCGGGCCCAACTTTCTGCTCGCGAAGATCGCGGCGGACGTGCGCAAGCCGGACGGCCAGTTTTGCACGGGCTGGTCACGCGAAGCAGTGCTCTCCTTCTTGGCGCCGCTTCCGGTGCGCAAGGTGCCCGGGGTCGGCAGGGTGATGGAGAAGGCTCGGGCCAGGAAGGACGGAGCCGCCTCGGCTGTGTGTCTCTGCTGCATCTCTGCTGGACACTGGTGCGTAGGTGCTCTCAAAGGCACTGGGCGTTTCCTCGTGCGGCGAGCTGCTCCAGCCGAGATGCAGCCGAGATACTGCCGAGATGTCACCTCGTGCGGCGAGCTGCTCTCGATGGCGGCGCCGTCCGCGACACGTCCGCGACACGTCCGCGACACGTCCGCGACACGTCCGCCAGGCGAGCTGCTCTCGCGGGCGGCGGAGGCGAGGCTGCTCTTCACGCCGGGCAGCGCCGACTCGCTGCTGCGCAAGTCGCTAGGGTGGGAGGAGGGCGGGCGCGAGGAGGCGGCTGGCGAGGCGCTCCAGAAGGGCATCTCGTGCGAGCGGACCTTCCGGCCGACCGGCGACGAGGCGGAGCTGGGCGAGACGCTGCGCCGCCTCTGCGCCAGCCTGGCCGAGGAGATGGCGGCGCGGCAGCTGCGCGGCCGAACGGTGTGCCGCTCGAGCTGGAGGCGTCCCGAGGTCACGTCCGTGACGCGTCCACGACACGTCTGCGCCAGTGTCTCCGCAGGTGACTCTCAAGATGAAGACGTCCGATTTCGACCTCTTGACGCGCGACTCGAGCGCGGCGAGGCCCGTCGGCGCGGCGGAGGAGCTGCAGGCGCGCGCAGTCATGCCTCTCACAGTTGCTGACTAGACTATCGACTGATAGAGGAGGAGCTGCAGGCGCACGTGGTGCCGCTGCTGGCGCGGGAGCAGCGGCGGGCGGCCAGCGCGGGCGGCGGCCGGCTTCGGCTGCGGCTGATTGGCGTGCGCGTGTCAAAGCTGGAGAAGGAGGGAGCGGCGGGGGGGGGGGACGCGGCGCAGCGCCGCATCTCCTCCTTCTTCGCGCAGCCCGCCGCTGCCGCTTCCACGGCACGGGCGGCGGGGCTGGGGCAGGCGGCGGAGGCGGAGGCGGTCGAGATGGAGGCGGCCCTGGCGGAGGCGGAGGCAGCTGAGGCGGAGGAGGCGGAGGAGGCGGCGGCGGCGGGTGCGTCGGCGGCGGAGGCTGCGGCGGCTGAGGGTGCGGTGGCGGCGGAGGGTGCGGCAGGCGCCATCGCATGGGGGCGGGAGGACTCGGGGGGGCTCCTCTCCGCCGCCCCCTCGCCACGGGCCGTAGCCTCGCCGCCGGCCGCGCCGCCGGCCGCGAGGTCGCCGCCGCGGCCCTCCTCCCGCTACTTGCGCCTGAGCGAGGCCGAGCTCGACCAGGGCGTCCTTGCCGAGCTGCCGGAGGCGCTCCGGAGGGAGGTGGAGTCCGAGGTTGCGCACGCCGATTTGGCTCAGAGACGCCGCGCGGAGGAGCGTGGCGGGCAGCGAGAGCGGCGCCGGCCCGCTTGCGCTCCCGCGGCGGCGAAGCAGCCGAAGAGGCAGCGCTTGCTCTCCTCGTTCGTCAAGCCCGAGGGAGCCGAGCGAAGTCAGTCGAGCCGAGAGGGTGAACCGGACGCGCCGGTGGTCGCCCTCCTCGAGATGGGCTTCGCCGAGGGCGACGTGCGCGCGGCGCTTCGGATGGCGGGCAACGACCGGGAGAGGGCAGTGGAGGCGCTGTTGGCGGGTGGTACTGGTAGATGACCTTTCCAACGATGTACGATGATACAGTCAGATATGGTTGAAAAGGCTCAGAGAGCCGTTATCAGTATCACTGCATTGGGGCAGCTGCAGCTTCGCCGTGCCAGTCCCGTAAATAAATAAATAAATAAAACGGGCACGCCAAACGACTACGAGGGGTGGGAGAAGGACAGGGTCCCCACCTGCACGAGCAGGATCTTGTAAGGACGATCAGGGACACAGGGGAAGGGGAGCGGTCCCGTGCCCACTCTCCGGGAGGCTTCTAAATTTCTTTTTCTGTATGTTCTTTTTCATCTCACATCATCAAAGCGCCCGCCGACCAAGTAACCGGGAGTTTGGCCTCGGCCTGATCTGCTCCGCTCGCCTGCTCCGCTTCTGTCAGCTGGCAGAACCGTGCCATAGGCTGGCGGCACTGACCCATGCCCCACAATCGCTGCGCTGAACGCACCGGCCTCAGCGTGGTTGTACCGAGCGCCAGTCGCGGCCCGACGCTGCACGTTCTCCTCATCGCGCTCCTACAGCAAGAGGCGCTGCGAGTGCCTGGCTCGGAGATCATCGTGTCACACGCCACCTTTGATAGTTTGAACGAGGCCCCAAACATGTCTCCCCGAGTTCTGGCGGCATGCGCCTCGTGTGACGTGCGCCGGATTGTTCATGTGGACTCGGTGCGCATCAACGACGCGCTCGGCTGCGCGCACCGGTACGTGGTAGCGAGCAAGCACGCTCGGAACAACGTGCTCCTGCACCTCGACGACGACCTGTTGCCGAAAGCTGCGCTCCTGCAAGCTCTTGTGCAGAGTGTGTGCGCCGAGCCTGGCTTCCCCGAGTATGCGCGCACGGCGCGACCAAACCCTTTCCGCTCCGCGCCACTGCGCCCAAGCTTTTACGGCACCACTCCACGGCTGTGCAGCAAAGATGGTTACCGCTTCTACTCAAGGAGATACACCCTGAGCCAGCGCGGCAAGTGGGTGCTCCAGAAGCCATACTACGTGCTGACCAACGTTGCCAGCATGTCGCGCGCACTGAATGCTGAGTTTGTCGCGGTGCTCAATCAGAGCTACGCCTCGCTCATGCGCGTGACGGGCGGGGAAGGCTGCGACTTAGTCTTCAATCATTTCGCAAGGGGCGCAGGCAGCACTCCCACGGCGCTCAGAGGTCACCTGCACACTCGGAGCGTGGAAAATATTCGGCGACCAAAGCACCTGCAGGCTGCTGCAGAGGCGCGAGCGCTGGCTGTCAATCCCGTTGACAGTGGAATCCAGAGCAAAGCGACCGCCGCAACGGCGACGAGCAAGTTCTACGGCGGGTACGAGGGTGGGAAGGACCACTACCCTCGGCGGTGGCAGATTTGCACTTGCCTCGGAAGGGGCACCGTCGGCGAGACGCTCGTCGGCTGTGCAACGGACAAGGCAGGGCTCAAGTGGGCCCGCGGCAATTGGAGCGCATTCGCCGCCAGCGCCGATCTCAGCATCG